GGGGGTTGGAGGAAGTGGGAAGATGTCATAGAAGGGAAAAAAATCTGTTATACAGGATGAGTAAGTTCTGGGGCTCTATCCTACATTGTGGTGACTATAGTTAACGATACTGTGTTGTTACTCAAATTTTGTTAAGAGAGTGACTCTTAAGAATTCTTTCTCACCCTTCACCCCCAAAAACTAACTCTGTGTGGTGATGGATAGGTTAGTTTATTTGTGGTGATCATTTCATAAGGTATACGTATATCAAAACATCAAGCACCTTAATTGTATACAATTTGTATTCATCAGTTATACCTCAATAAAGCTGGGTGTGGAGTGAAAGAAAGGGGTGAGGATGGAAGAGAGAGAGGGAAACTGCCATTTATTGGAAGTTGGGTGCCAGGCACATTGCCAGAGCTGGTGGAATCCTTGTAGCCCTAGAAAGAAGAGGCATCATTGTGCTTCCTTAACAGAAAATGTAAAGTGAAATGCGCAGAGATGAAGTACATGACTGAGGGTCACACGCACACACTTGGGAAGGCCAGGGCTGTCTGACTCTGAAGCTGGACACTTCTTTCTGATCTCACCACAGGCTCATAACACCTCCTTCTCCCCATTTGAGCATGGCCATCCCCTGCCTTAGAACTGCACAGAGAAAGAAACCAAGTTGTGCAGATCCTTGTGGCTTTCCACAGGGAGTGACCAAAGGAACAAAGTGTGTTTTAGACCTACACAATCCAGACTGGCTGTGTTGGGGGAACAGGCTGTCCTATCGTCTCCTGCAGTGACCCAAATGCAGCCAGGGTTGTAAAACAGGAGAATTGTGGATGAGGTGCTGCTCAGATAAGTTGTCTGCCCAACAGCATCCTTGACAGCTCTTCCTCTACACCCAGCCAAGGCCCAGCTGAGAATGTGACCCAGGAGCTCTCCTAAGTCCTGAACCCTCACCAGGGTATGGGAATGACCACACTCTGTCGCTATGCATGGAGACACAGCCTCATCAGCTTCACCCCTCCCTGCTAGCATGCAGCCCTGTGGGAGATGATCCCAGTTATAATGGCTAGAGTCAAAAGTCCTGAGTTCAAGGCTATGCTCCGCTATTTATCAGCTATAGACCTTGGGCAAGATACTTCTTGCACTAGAACCCTAAGAGATTTTCCTGCAGTAGATGAGACTTGAGCCCAAAGAGGACACAGAGGCAAGTGGCAAAAACAAGTTTTGTATCCAGGTTTTAGTGATTCCAAATTCAAAGCTTTTCCCAAAAGCTCTTCAATTTTCAGCAGAAGGAGATGGAAAAAATCTCAGGAAACAACGCATCTTAGCTTAAATTACTGCGACCCAAGACACAACCAACCAAACTCAACCAATAGCAAGCTCAATATGTAGGTAACAGTGTTTGCCCTCTGTAGAACCAGAGAACAAGCCACCTCTGTCCTTTCCATTCCACTGATAAAGACACAGCTATGTGAGAGTGTGTTGCCTCTGGGGAACCCCACAACATCTTCTTGAGAGTACCTAGGTCAGCACAGACTTCTACATGGGGGGATGCGGCTTGTCTGAGGAGTGCAAATGTGGTGAAGCATTCAAGGTGGCAGGAGTCTGGGAAGGGGGTGGAGGTGACCTGGCTGCCCTGAGAAGAGTTTTAAAAGGGCACGAGTCCATTAAGAACAATGCACAAGGCCCAGGAAATGGAAAGCCTTCTGCTCTAAGATAGTCCCGACTTGCTCACTATGTGCGCAGAGGGATTAAGCCCGTGGCCACTGGAGCCCGGGCTACTGGCCAGCACCCACAGTGTTGCACCCTAGGGTGCACTTTTCTCCTGCTTGTCCTTCCTGGCCTCTTCCTGGGAGGAGCTGGAGCCCTGCTGGGCAGTACCAGATTTCAGAGTTCAGAAAGGTAGGTTAGTGCTCACTCATCCATTCAGCCACCCTGCCAGGCACTGGGGTGTCACTGGAACAAGACAGGACAGGGCTTTAGGAGTGACAGGTTTGGAAGCAAGTGGACTTTCCAGCTCAGCATTTACAATCCGGTGATCTCACCTGCCCCTAAACTCTCTGAACCTCTGTTCTCTTGTGTCTGGGATGTGTGTAACGATGCCTCCCTTATGGAATTCAAGTGAGAGGAAAGATTTCTTCAAGTAAATGTGAAAGTGCTTTGCTAACCATAAAGATCATATCGATCATAACACAGTTAATAATACAACTTGTATTATGATTATTGCTACACTTTTCCATTCAGTAGGTTTTCTCTGTCTGACCTGCCTATTGTACAAGGATTTGGGCAATATTTACTTTGTGTGGCAGACTCTGGCAATATTGATTAATCTGTTCATGGATCATTAGCCTGCTCCCTTACTTTAAAAAGCTTTATGAAGCTATAATTCATACACTTAAAATATATAATCCAGTGTTTTGTTTGGTACTTGGGATCAAACTCAGGGACCTTGCACTTTTGAGGCAGGCACAGTGTCACTGAGCTAAATCCCTGGCCTGCCAGTGTTTTGGCTTTAAAGGTTTTCCTCAGAGTTGTATAACCATTGCCACAATCTAACTTTAGAACATTTTCATCCCCCCTTAAAAAAAAATCCATAGTCAATACTAACCATTCCCTCTAATGAAGCCTCTTCCCCCACTAAGCAAATACTACCTTTCTGTCTCTGTAGATTTGCCTATTCTGGGCACTTCATATAAAAGAAACCATATAAGCTAGGTGTGCTGGCACATGACTATAATTCTAGTTTCTGGGAGCCTGAGGCAGAAGGACCACAAGTTCAAACCCAGCCTGGGCACAAACTTGGCTCAAAATTTAAAAAAAAAAAAAAAAAAAAGGCGGG